CTGGCTTTCCGTCTGATTCATTCCGGGGAAGGGAGAAGGTGTACTTGGTGTGGGTGGGTGGGTGGGTGGGTGTGGGTGGGTGAGGGTGGGTGTGAGATACATCAGGGGTAGGCCCATCAGGATTTGAAACGGCAGAGAGCTCCGAGAGTGAGCACTTTGGAGCTGTGTTGTACGGCTGTTAAAGAGTTATGCGCGTCCGAAGTTTGGGGTGGTGTGGGGAGGGCGGGGGGGGCTTGGACTTTCCTACGGGGGTTGTGGACAGCGTGTGTATGTGTGTACGCGCGTGTGTGTGTGTGTGTGTGTTTGTATGTGTGTGTGTGTTTCTCGGTATGTCTTCAAACTTTCGGGGTTTTTAAGGCTGTACGGGTGTACGGCATGCGTCCGTGTAAATGTATGTTGTGTGTAGGTTTGTTTGCACGCTCTCGGTTTGCGACTCAGGATGAGAATATATTCGGAGTATGAGACTCATCATCTGCATACTACGTACGGGTACATAAACACGTACATCAAACATTGACGAAGGGAAAAGAGGAGAAGAAATCTTCTCCCACCTCCCCCACTGCTCCGCTCATGCTCCTCCCCACGTGCGACAGTCGGCCCCCCGCACACCACACGCCTCCCCCGAAACACACTACCCTCTCGCCTCCTGACCTTCTGCCGTACACAACCGTACAACAGACCGGCGCTGGGCTACAGCTGCTTGCAAGCGGCGGCAGCGGCGGGGCTGCTACTGCCGCCGCCGTCGGCGGCGGCGACGACCCACTTTCCCACTACAGCCTGCCCGCCTCGCTGCGGCAATGCTGGATGGAGGTGCCAGCTAAGGAGCGTTTGATGGCGCTGGCGGCGTTGCTCCGAAACCGTGCTGCCCGCCGTCGTGTCGGCGGTAGCAAGGCGGTGGTGTTCGTGGCTTCCTGCGATGAGGTGGAGTTCCTGCACTACCTGCTGGGGGACATGTGGGAGGCGGCGGCGGGCGCGGCGCTGCTGCCCCGGTCTGTACGGCTGTTCAAGCTGCACGGAGACATGCAACAGGCGCAACGGACCGAGACGTTTGCGGGGTTTTCACAAGTGGGTGGCAGTGGGGGGGGAGTAAGGGGGGACCGTAATGGGGGTAGTAGACCTGCGAGCCGACCAGGAATGGAGTTGAGCCGCTGTCGACCCGGCAGATTCCGTTGGATGCTGGTGGTGGGTGCGGAACCTGAGCGATCCACTGAGAAGTTGACTAGGGTGACTGGATGAGGGTGCCCCGAAATACCGGGGAAGGCAGGGTTTCGCCGGGTAGCGGCCGCAGGGTGAAGATACGACCCCCCTGTCCCACAAATCTACATATGCACACCTCCACACAAACATGTATACGTACACATGCATCGGGCTGGAACTCCCCCTCCCCCTCCCCCTCCGCCTCGGTGTGGTGGTTTGTAAAACCACAGGACGGTGACGGTGTACTGCTGTGTACGGATGTGGCAGCCCGAGGACTTGATTTCCCCAATGTCACGACCATCATCCAGTACGACGTGCCCGGAGCCCCCGCGGAGTGAGTGTACCCCCGCCTTTACCCGCTTGACGCGTGCCGCGTGCCTGTGTGTGTGTGTGTGTGTGCTGCTGTGTGTTTTCGTGTGCTTCCCCCCTCCGTTTTCGTCTTGCTGCGCTGCCGCGTGGTTTACATGAACGGTATAACGGCTGCTGGGCGGCATCGGCTGCTGGACGGGATTCGATTTGTGCTCGCATCCGGAGCTTTGTAGAGGTCTTCCCCCTAGGGATTGGAAAAAGCCGTAGAACTGGCGGAGTGGCACGCCAGTGTTCTGTCAAATGGTGTGACCCGTGGGTCGGTCCTATCGCTCTGTCATCACACTCATAGAACAGGCGCGCGAGCACTGTGAATCTTCTCCTGGAACTGACTTCTCTCTCTTTCTCTCTTTCTCTCTCTTTGAGTTATGTGGCCCCAGCCCGTAGTTCCAGACCGTCTCCACCGCCTCGCCTCACCTGTCCCTCATGCCCCCCTAACCTCCCGTTGCGATCTGGGGGGAACGTGATCTGATCTGATCTTGTTGGTCCTGGGCACGGTCCTGGTCCTGGGGCAGTCCCCCGACCCACCTCCCCCGCCCCCGCCCCCGACCCACC